AGATGAGTGCTGCGCGCACTTGAAACTAAAGGCTAAGTAGGTGCATTCATATAAACATTGCCCATGCACAGCTCTATCTGTGTGTCTGGCGTCTGTTTGTGTTGGTATTTTTGTTGTATTTGCATTTGCGCTCACATATGCTGAAAAGTTGTGTTCAGTTTGGGGGCGTACACAGGCGATGAGTGAGTGGATTGCCTGCCGTGTGTAATTAAATTTATTTTATTTTATTATTATGATGATATATGCGAATGCTTTTTTGCAACCCAACTTTGTAAAGAACTGCTTACCTCAGACAAACTCAAGCTGAGAAACAGTTTACCATGCAAGGTTACATGGTTGGCAGTTAAAATATTTATCATAATTATGCTCATATAAGTAAAGTTTTTTTTTTTATAAATGTTTTGGGTATAATTGGAAACTATTGCTTGAGGTTAATATATTTGAACGTTGAATTCGTTTCGCTTGACCTGGGCCACACTTAAAGCTGTTTGCAACATCTTGAACCAGCCCCTGCCACACACTCAACACACGTTCAACACACACTTCGATTACTGTGCAAATATTCTTCGCGCATGCCGCAAAACAACAACAACTCAGCCAAGTCTCAGACCGGTTGTGTGTGTGTGTGTGTGTGTGTGTGTGTGTGTGTGTGTGTGTGTGTGTTTTTGTGTGTCCTGGCAACTCGAGCATGAATGTCTCGTCCTTAAGCACACATCAATTTGAAAACAATAATTGAAAATTGCAACAATTGGAAATTTTCGTTCGGTTTTCTGCGCCACGTAGCATGCGAAATGAAAGTGCAGCAACAGAACGAAGGAAACGATCGAAGTCGAATGGGCAAAATGTTAAAAATACTCGTAAGAAAATGCCAAGCAACTATTTGCAGCAATTGTTGCACTAGCTGTTGTTGTTATTGCTTGACTCCCTGTTGCCTGTGCAGCACTCTGAAATAAAGTTGTGCATTTTATTATTGTTCGCGCGGTTACGATTGAACTAGCAACTCGCAACTTGCAACTTGCAGCTTCAACTTTCTACTTTAATGTGTTCAGCCACAGAAAATTTGAGAAAAAAACTACTTTAAATCAAACTGTCTACCTCCTCTCTTGTTCGCTTTCTCTCTCTCTCTCCATGTCTCTTTCACTCTCTACCTTTCTCTCTTTTGTCTTCATCTCATAAAATATATTTTTAAATATTTTAACATTTTTGTGACACGCAAAGTTCGCTGGCACTGTGCTTAAATAAATAATGTTGGCCAACATGGCGAATATGGCCAACACATAGAAAATGAAATAACAAATACAAGAGATTTATTATTTATAATTCGATTAAAACAAAAGCAAATAACAACAAAATACAATTTGCTTGTATTTTTTTAATATTATTTATCATTGTGCTGTTCGTTGCATTAAAAATTGAGTTTATTTATTGTTTAATGCAATGGCATTGTATTGCTAGACAATTTTAAAGAAACGTTCTATTTAACAAAATTATTTTGCATGTATATTACAGAGTTTCATTCGAAATTCTATAGGAAGCATCAACAATGGAATTTATATTATTTAAATAGTTTTATTTAAAAGAAGCTATATCAATGTTACAAGATTTTTAATTTGTTTTTCACTAGCTTTCACTTGATGAAATAAGGTAATTAGCTTGAAATAAGGAAAACCGTGAAGAAAGACGATAATTTAGTTAGATGGAAAAGGGACATATTAACATACAATGCGGGTAAGTTAGAAAGTGAGAGGGAAACACAGAAAAAGAGAAGTTTGAAGAGAAAGAGAGAAACAGAAAACATTGAGACGAAATAAATTAACAGATAGTTAGAACGATAAATAGATAGATAGATATATAGATAGATAGATAGATAGAAAGATAGATAGATAGATAGAAAGATAGAAAGATAGATAGATAGATAGATAGATAGATAGATAGATAGATAGATAGATAGATATATAGATAGATAAATAGATAGGTAGATAGATAGATAAACAGATAAATGGACAGGGACAGGAACAAGGAGAGAGCTAAAGCAATTCCAGGTGATGTACAGGATATCTAGCAATCAACTACTCTCGAGTGCTGCATTTAAACTTGTTTTATTTAGTTTCATCTCAGCAAATATTAATGCTCATCAATTATAAATGTGATATGTCGGCTGACAAGCGCATCGACAGGTGAGTGACTCTTTTATTTGTTGCCTTTGTTTTGTTTATATTTTTTGTTGTCAGTTGCCGCCGACGCCGCCGCCGTCGTGTTAATAAAATATTCAAAATTTAATTTTCATCGCGTTGCATTTGACACATTTCAATAAAAACAATTACTATAACAAATAAGTTGAAAAGCTGACACAGTGGTTGCCATTTTATTTGCTGTGACCGGGCAGCCAAACAAAGGCAGCAAAAAAGCGCTACCCCACTAGCCCTCTATCCCTTTCCCAACCCGAGCCGTACTCACACATGTGATAGACGCGCTTTGTCTATGGGTAAACATTTATGCAGTTTTAATTATAAATGCATTGTTGCATTTTACAAAATAACAATAACAATAACAAAAGCAGCAGCAGCAACAACAACTACAGAAGCCGAAAAGCTGTTTAAATTATCAAATAATGATGTGTAATATACCGAAATACACCTGTAAGCAGTTGTAATAATTTAACTGCTATTATTCAAATGCATATGCAGAGTAATAGGGTATATAAGTAAACATGTATTTGTAATTGTTTTACATATAAGCCATTCTCAATCCAATATAGGAGACATATTTCTGCTCAGTCGCAAGTAGACTGTTAGATTGCAAGTAACTTATTATTTAAGATTTCAATTTATTTAATTTAAATTTTTTGCCACTTTTTGCTTAACATTTTTATTCTTAGGAAGTTCTATTCAAACTTTTTGCTTTGGCCCAACACACCAAATGGAACTAAGAAACTGTCATTGACAGCCACATTAAGTATACGCCACATTCACCAGGCAAGTACAATAAAATACCACTAGTTGACCCCACAAATAAGCCCAGACAGAGCCCACAAACAGCTTCCTACCCAGAGGGCCATCCATTGTGATGGCATTCAAGTCAATGGCGGAAATGAAAATTGAATTTTATGCAAACACAAAAGCCAATTGAAGTCAATTATTGTTTATGTAACTAATTTTATTTAAATATAAGTCAATTCGTATGCAGCAATGAGGGGAGAGAAGCAGAAAGAAAAGCAAGCAAAGAATATAAAAAGAAAAACGAATGTTAAACAGAAAAGACGCAAGGAGAACAAGACAGAACAATTATCTTTGGCTTGCCGAATGTTAAACACTCTTGCTGCACCGACTTGCCAAAGGCAAACTATATGAGACAGTTTTCTCCAGGCAAGCAGACAAACAATACTCTATATTAATATATATTTTGAAGGTTTGTCTTCAATGCGTTGCATATGGCCTGCCAAGACTACAATACTCCCACCGCAAGAGTATCAAAAGTGTAGGCGACGCACTGGCAACAAATTGATTGCGAAGTCTAAAAATAAAAAACAAAGGAAGTAAAGGCAAGTGCATTGCTGAAGCTGCAGACAGCCGTAGATACTGCCTGAGGCTTATATAGGCTATGAATGAATATGCATAAATATTTACCAAATGTCTCCCGAATGTCGCTAACTAACTGCTCGTAATTGTCGTCGGGTGCACAACGCTAACTGACCCATTTTGGAAGCTGGCAAATTTAGCAGCTCGATGCCCACGCTTTTTGGCAGAATGCCAGCAAAAAAATCAAAAAACAAAAACTAGCAAGCAAAATGTCCTTGGACCTAGTGAAAATTGTTGGGGCCATCCATCAGCTGTTTGTTTTGTTGAGCGCAGCGTTTTCAGCTTTTTGCTGTTCCGCTTGTGCCATCTTTTTTTTCCCATTTTCCAGTTTTCTTTTTTTTTTCGGTGCTCAGCCAAAGACAGCGACAAAGTGCAGCCTCTAGTCGAGCGGTATTTTGGGTGTGCGTGTGTGTGTGCGTGTGTGAATGTGTGTTAGTTATTTTGATTGATTGCATTGTTTCGTGTAACAAATTTATTTGTGCCACGCCCATCAAGCACTTAAAAGCAAGAGGCGCAACAACAACGATAAAATGTTTTACTGTGCCATGCCGAAGACTAAATACTCTAGTAGGCATAAATATGGTCCAGAGGTGCCTCTTGTAAGGCCATATAGAGTATTGAGTTTATATATTTTTCTAAAGAAAAAATCACTTTATTTTCGACCAATTATGCTAACCTTTTGCTATAGTGCTCAGATTAGGAGGGATTCCCTTCTAAGCGATTGACAATTCGTAACACTCTATAAAAATACCCTATAAATTGGGTAGCTACATCTTTGTCAACGGCAGGAAATTGCCAAAGACCGCCCAGCACATGTAGGTAAAGTTTAAAGCCAAACGCCAAGGGATCATCATCGTCATTATCATGATTATCATAAGGATACTATTTTGGTCTCATGGTTAACCAACAACGACTGATAGCTTTATCTTTGGCACAATCTGAATGACGTTCTGTTCAGCTTCTTCTTCTTCACTTAGCCAGCATCATTAGTGAAAATGATTTCTTATTCAAGGCTCGCTTTTGCTCTGCTACTGCTTTTGCTTTGCTTTTTCTTTGGCTATGGCTGAATTTTTCTTTTCTGATTTCTTCGCGCTGTTGTCATGCTTCATCGATTTTCTATGCTTTGCTGATTTAGTTGATGGAAATTCTGTATATTTTTTTTTTTTGTTTTTTAGCCGCCTGCACTTGAACAGCCACCGCACTGGCAGTCGCAGCCTCAGTTTACTTTTGTCGTAATAATGTTGTATTTGTTTTCTACCCCCAAAAGTTTAACATTTGCTTTGTTATCTTTAATATTGATTGTGTGCAATATCTCAAGTTATTTTCCATTTTTGTTTGCTGTTTCCAAACGTCAAGCAGATGAAGAATAAAAAATGAAACCACTTTTGAGTTTTTACCCTGACGAAACAAACCAAACGAAAGTCTAGGGACAAGGCAATTTTTAGAGACTGGCTGCAAAAGAGAACAAACTTTATGCAGTATTTAATTTTTAACAATTATTTTTACAGAAACACACAAGTTTCGTAAAGGATCTTTTAATACTACTCACGTCTTAAGGTTGACGCTTAAACTCTCGGATTTCTAATAGAAAAGCTGGTTAAGGGACGCGATAGCCGGATAGAATTATAGACCCTGCACTTCACTACAATTGAGAATAGTTGCCGTCGAGATATTAATTATGTGTAAATAATCATGTTTAAATCATGACAGACACCACAGTAAAAACCAAATTTTCACACATAGATCTATATGCAAAGAAGTTCCTTTATTGGTCCAATTAAAGCGTCCAATCCAATTGCTTTCATTACTCTCCATTGCGTTTTCTGTCATATAAAAGTACAATATATGTGGATGCCCTACTTCAGTCTGATGGCTGTAACTTAGAAGGAAACCAAAACGTCGCTTTTTTGATTCATCCACCTTGGGCACCTTTTTGTATAAATTAACAGTCAGTTCACTAAAGCTATCATTTTCCCGACGACAACCACTACCAATTTTAATCTGACTGAAATCATTTAGATGACTTAGCAGGTAACGCATTAACAAGGAGACCTGCGGCACGTAGCTCCACATGAAGGTCTCGCCAGGTTTAAAATGTCTTCTATCCTGCAGAAATGTGTGCGTGTGAGAGGTTACCAAGTTTAGCGGCCGACGCAGATGAGCCATAGGTTGCTGCCCCGAATTCCGTTCGTATCTCTCGTCACGAAGCTTTTGCTCCTTGGAACGCAGAGAGGACTCTACGCCAATGTGCTGAAATTGAGACTGGGTGGCGCGTATATAGTTCATGAAAAAGTCGCGCTCGCAGTCCGCAGTATTAAAGCTGTCCCACGGGCAGGTTCGTAACTTCACATAGGAATACAACAGCCAGTCAATGGGTTGATCATTGTAAAAATTCTGCACATGGGCTAAAAACGGTTTGATCTCATCCACGTGGAAAAGCTTGCCAATAAAACCCAGCTCCGAGAAACTTAAAACAATCCAGCCACGATGATGGTCTAGACGAAAGTGTGTATGCAATGCCTCTAGCTGGATAATATAATCCAAATATCCGACAGTCGGTTCAATATCATCCTCCAGTTGTAGATAGTAGCTACCACGACTGCTCGCATATGTCATCAGGTACATATAGTCCATGACCTGCTTTGTGCGCCAACGCACGCGATTGGGATCATCGTGCAGCGTTATGTAGAGCGATTCAAAGTCTGGATAGTAATTAACTGGTGGTGATATGACATCAATTAGGCCATCATCCAAATGGTAGCCAAATGAGTCACTTATCTCTTTCCATTTAGATTCCACAATTTGACTGTCCGTCTCGCCTATATAGATCACAATGAGGCAATTGTTGCGCTGATAGTCGCTCAATTTCTCTATCAGATGAGCCACTGTCTCCAACAAATAATTCTGACCCACTCGGCGTACAGTGGGCACGCCTAGCACATATTGAACACCAGTCCGTCCTTTACTATAGCTGGAACCGAGCAAAAGAGGTGATTCCTGCAAGATGCGCTGCCACAACGGATCCGTACGTTGTTTTACCACCGTTATCGTCTGATATGTGTCCTTGACCATCGACCGTTGGCTCTGGCTGTAGTTGGCCAGCCGTTTAGTATGATTCACAACTTTCTCTTCTATTGTCGCTGGAAGTGGTTCTCGAGGCAGGGTTGTCAAATAAATCAACAAGAATGTGAGGAGCGCGCACAATATTATTATGATACGAAAGTTTATGATCCGCATAATTATTGTTAGACGATCAAATAGAGCTCAAAGCAGTGAAAACAACGCTTGCTTTTGAGCACAACTACTAAGAGGTATTAATCGAATTGCTCATATTTCTGTATCAATATTTATCGATTTCTTAAAAACGGGACAAGTTGTCGATTATCGGAAACAAACAAAGAACTGACGTGCAAAATTTCACTTCTATGTTTTAAGATACTTGCATTCATACATACTGACAGATGGCCAGACTTTATAAGTTTAGAGATGCTTCCTTCTGCCTGATTAGTTAACGGATCAAAGCATAGTCAAATAAAAACCATTAAAAAATTATGATTTATTCTACTTATTTTTATAACAGCAAAGACTCAACAAGTTAACTTAAGCCTGTTTATTGTTTAGCGAAGCCTGAATAACATTTACACCTCGCAACGTAACAGGCTTAAATCCTACTTCTACTTATTTTTAGAAGGCATTTGCTTGCCTTTTGACATTAAAGCTATCCTAAATTAAATCCCACATATCAATGACCCAACTCTTTTTTTGAAGGCAGTCACATAACAACAACCAATTTTTTTTGAGATTTTGTTGGTTCTCTTTTTGCTTTGTGAAAAGCCGAAACGAAAAACTTAAAAAAGTCAAGCAAACGACAAAAAAAAAACAATACCAAATTCATAGGCGCACGCATAAGACAGCACCGAGAATCGCAAAAGGCGGCAGAAATTCCCTAAAGCAATGAATATTTAGAATTCCGCTGTCATTTCTGAACACGCCCCAGAGACGGTGTCACAACAACAAGGCAATGCATAAATAAGACGCACAAATCGCAATTTAATGTCCTAGAGTAAATGAGATGCTGTCGTAAACTGAGATCCGAATGAAGCAAAGCCATTAAAAAGTATCAACAACGCATTTGATTTAAAACTTAAATTAAATTCGATTTAAACTTTTTTTGTTATTTATATATATATGTGCATGGTGGGAGGGGGTGCCTGAGGTTAATGTCCATTACCTGCAATATTTATAAAAATTTGCACGTGATGATAAAAATTTATGCACACACTGGTCCAGACACCGTTCTGACTTGTTCTTTCGGCTTTTGGGGGCTCGAGCGCTGGGCTCCAGGTCGGAGTTCGCACATTAAATAAATAACCGAAAAACTTTTCAACTTTCATGAATATTAATAACAGCAGATTTTTAAATATGTATATACACATATATATATATATATACACAAAGCGTCAACGATGGCATCCAAGTGACAGAGAGTCAGAGTCAACGGTTGCCAACGGTTGCTCATACGCCGCGTTGTCCGCGCAAAATGTAAAATGTGCATTTAAATTGAATTCCTTAATGAATTCGCAGCAACGCCTGACCACGGACCACCGCAAACTGTAGCCTCCAACCTCCAGCTGGCTAAAGGTGTTGCCCAATGCGACCGTCGCGCTTTTTATCAGATTAAAAATTATTATATATTTGAGAAAAAAAAGAATACTCTTGCCCGAAGTCAGCCACGTTCTGTTGAAGAGCTTGTAATGCGCAATGAATATGAACTTGGCATTGCAGAAAGCAGAGGTAATACTGGGACAGAAAATCGCCAATTTAGACTCGTTTGTCTTGTTTATTGACAGCAACTATTAATTTCCCTTATTTGAAAATTCAAATAATAGCCAAGTAAAGCCATATAATCTGTCAATTTAATTTGTTTAAATAATTTATATTTTTAATTAATAAAAAAAATCAAAATCCCTTGCTTAATGGCTACGCAAGGGCATTAAAGTTTCGTTATTCTATGCACAAGTGTATTTCACATTTTATTATCCAATGCCCAAGCTCACGTTCGCGAAGGGGCGTGTTGCATATATATATATTTATATGTATATATAACTTTTTTTGAGCGCACAGCGCAAAAATTATGCAAAAATTCAAAAGCATAAAGTTTGGCGCTCAGCAGTTGCAGAAACAGCAGCAACTCGACTTGACTCTTAATTAAAATGCATTAAGTTTGGCACAGGGCAAGCGTCAGCCACAACATGTGACCGCAAGTGTTAACATAAAAGTTGAGCAGCGCATATATAAAAAAAAAAAAACTAATCTGCCAAATCTAAAATTTAGAACGGCTGCGGTCTTAACGAATTGCCATTGTGTCGAAAATACCAACAGGCAAACTATAACAAAATTTACTGCACATATATACGTATATATATATATATATCAATATATATATACATATATATATATATACATATATATTTTTTATGTGAACATATATAAAGCTTTTTGCTAGCGTCCACATTGATTAATGGCCCTATGCACGGAAAATTAAATGTAACGCCACATGAACTGAAATTCTAGCCGCAACCATAACTAACTGATGTGCCTATGCCGGGGCTTTTGATGTTCGCTCCGGCATATGATAATGGTCAAATTTTTGCACATATTTTCCCACACAGTTTTTATTTGCCCCTTTTTTTTTGGGCCAACCGACAAACACAACACGTAACATGTGTTTTAGTTTATAACAACGGAGCAAAACGTAAAAAGCATATAAAATATAAAAGGGAGAACATAAAAAAAATGGTGGGCAAAAATGTGCGATATTAAATTTTCGTTGTATTTGAGTTATTAGAAATTTCTGTGCGCTTCACCAAATGAATTTAAATTTATTTATAAAATAAAATAAAAAAGAAATATGCACTTTTTGGCCATTTCATTAGTCAACGGTTGGCCAAAATTCTGGCCAGTAAAATTAACCCAAACTCAATACAATCTAAATACTTTATGAATATTTTAAGTTATGAAAATATTTTATGAATACAGTCTTAATAAGTTAAGTTGAAATAACAATAACAATTCCTTTGGAATTTTTGCTGGACTTACACCTGGCGTATCTACAAGCCTTTATTTCCATTTGAAGAGCCAACTCTTACAGCGTATGCAGGCCAAAAATAAATCCCGCATTGACACACACATGTAATCTAACCCAACAAGCATATATGTATATAAATATACAGAAAAAAAAACACATCTACTAAATTGGCAAAATCTGCGGCGCGTGAAAAAATTGTATAAAAGCTTATGAGACCTTGTGGCAGTTTCTGTCATTTCCTGCTGCATCCCTATTTATTTTTTAACACAAAAGCCACCAAAAAAGATAAATTTCACACCGAAATATTAATAACTTTTTAGAAGGTGATAAAAACTGAGCTTAGCCAAAAAAACCGCTAAAAGCCGCTCTACGCAAATCCAGCGCATAATTTGCACATTACTCATTTTAAGTTTTTATGTAAGCGGTTTTTTTTTTTTTGGATAAATGTCTACTTGAAAAAACTAATAAGAGTTTGCCTGAGTCATAAATTTCTGGTAAATCGTCGAAAATTAAAGTGTAACCGGTTGCGCGCAGCCAAGCAAGTCCAACAAGTGACAAAAGAGGCAAAATTTGCAAAATAAAATAATAGGAGCTGGAACATTGGATAGACGGAACGAACGACGCTGCACGAGCATACGGAAGTGCTGAATCACCGGAAAACCATTAAAGGAAGTCACAACTATTGATTATGTCGGCGGCGTCAGCGGCGACAACGGCACAAACTAAAAATGGCTTTGTGTGTGCAAGCAGCGGAAAAATTATGATAGCACCCGGTTTCGGACCCAGCACCCAGACACAGAACCAGACCCAGACCCAGACCAAGAGCCAGACAAAGCCCAAGCACGCCCTATGCAATCCCACGGCCTCGACACATATAAATTTGCATCGCGGGGCGTTTTGGAGGCGGTCTTCAAATTGAATCTGATGGCTTTTATTTGCAACTTTAATTGCAAGCGACACTTGTTAAGGGCATATACGCTATATAATCAGCTGTGCAAGTAGCGCGCACTCCAGAAAATGATGTGCATGTTATCAATACCCTGTTATGTATATATATACCCTTTTCGAATTGGATTGAAAGTATATCTCACCGCGTACTTTTGCTGCCACAAAAGTAAATTCTTTGTATTATAATTCGTTAAATGATAGGAATATCATTTAAAATCATATAAAAAGTATAGCTTCCTTCTTTCTAAGATGCAGTTGAAGCAAGTTCGGAGCTTGAATTCCCTTGTTGAATTATATATGTTACGCCTCTGAATCTTGCAGAATCCGACGAGAATCACACAATCAATCCAGGCAATGCCGAATATATTCATTTCATCAATAACTACTTGCATAAAAGAGTGTCTTTCACCTCATAAATTATTTGTTGATTACCCAAAATGTCCTACTCTATATCGCGCGTTCATCTCTCCTTTATTTCTCTGTGCTTTCAGTTTTATTCAATTGAGAATGATTTTAAATATATTTGGTAACATAATCAATTAGATATGTTCGGCTAGCGCATGCAAAGTTCGTTTTATCAATTTAAATTGACTTTGTTAAATGTTGCTGTTGTTTTGGCCGTTGCCATGCGAATGCACATGGAAAAAGCGGAAACGACGCCCGTCGACCAAATAGTCGAAAATCATGGCGAGATAAATTGCCAAAGATAGCAATGGTTGGAGAGTCGACGCTTGCCCGGGACAACGCTCCTCTATTGTTCAAAATCAATTTAGTGTTGAATTGGTGCCAAGAATCTCATTTTCAAAAGCGCCAAACGTCGACTTCGTCGGCGACGTCGGCCAGCGAGCAGCGTCAACTGAACATATAGGAAATGAAAATACCGGAAGCGCCGACATTTTCTCCAATGAAAGTCAGCAAACCAAACCAAAAAGAGAACGAAAAGAGCTCGCGGATTTTCCAGCGCCGCCACCAACGCAGAAAAGTCAAAATAAAATAAAAAAAAAACTATCTGGAAAAAATAGAGAAAAATGTGCTAATAACTTTCAAATAAATGTTAAACCCCAAAAAAAAAAATAGCATTGCATCCCAACTAGTCAGTCTCACAGACTAGCTTAAACCGGCTCACCGACAGACAGGCAGACAGTTCTATTTCTACTATAAACTCTCATGTGTGCGCCTCTATTGCCACACATAACTCAAGCGCCTAATCCGGGTCAGCCAAGGCCGTAAATTCAGTTGGAGTCGCGTTTCAGTGGCTT